TGCTCTGTGCATTTCTTCAAGCCTCGTCTCCACGTCACCTGTTGACCTCCATATGGTTTCCTACATCCCGGGGCGGCTACAGCGAATAAAGCGCGGTGCGGCAGACGATGGCTGGGCATACGCAATACGTACCCTAGCCAGCGAAGCCTAGTAATCTGAATTCGGTATGCTAGCGGGTTTGTACCTGACAGACTCCCAAACACACGACGGCTTACCTCTCCGTTACTAACCCGTTCGCTCCATCCAACATGGGCTAAACTGCGTAAACAACGATAATCGAAAACTTCTAATCGACGGATATCTACTCGCTAATTCAGGGTCTCGCAACCATAAAGTAGGACTAGACGAACGCTAGCACGACCTTTCAACTTCAGTGAAACGTCGCGTCTACGTCAAAGGTGTTTAAGTCCTGCGTATGCTGCTCGAGCCTTGGAAATGTGGGCGGTTATCTCTTTTGCACTACCGTCATTGGTCAGGCAACTACATAAGTAGGAAAAGTAATCCAATACAACTAAATCCTGGCCATTTAGTGTCAGAGTGGGAGTAGACGATACCCAGTCCTGCAGTATCACTTTGCACTTTGAAGGTGCAAAGCATGCGCTTGCCGAAAGGAACGATAGAACTTGCTTATCTGTCAATTTGTACATCTTCCATACATTTGAACACGTAGACGATCTCTTCAACGTATTCTAGATCACACAGCTTTTCTCCAGCTGCCCATTCAATACCTACGTTTTGGAGTCCACTTAGTACATTATCCAGTATTTTGTCTACGGCGAAATTGAACATAAACGGCGAAAGAGGGCATCCTTGACGGACGCCGCTGCTAGTGACGAACTACCTACTTAGATTGTTGTAAACCCTTACACGAGGTATGTGAGTACAGCGACCTCAGCAGGCTAACGTACTTCTGAGGCATTCCTTTTCGAAGAAGGAAACCCATCAGAGCTTCGCGGTCAACTGAGTTGAAGGTTCCTTTCAGATCAAGGAACACTGCGATCGTTGGTCGACGGTGGGTGTGACGCAGATCAAGGACATGAAGCAACGTAAAAAATTAATCAATACATCCATGACCAGGCCTGAAACCGATCACCGATGTCTCGGAAGCCTTGCTTGTGTCTGGTGGGAACATCGGGTGAAAAATGAAGAGGTTCGTCTTCGTGTGTTGGGTGTGGATAGTCGCTTTCTAACAGAAGTCATCGCTCTACACCGCCTTCGATGGCTTGGTCACGTATTGCGTATCCCTGTCCATCGTCTACTTTTCCGTACTCTATTTTCACGTGCCGGGGAAACGCTGGAAGAAGCCCCGCGGCGGTCAGACCATGACATGGCTCAGAGGCATGAAGAAGCTGGCTTCAGCTTTGGCTTCGGTTGGTGCGGCCCGCCTTCGAGGTTGGAGCGCAAGGAATGAGGACGGTGGTTGGTTAGAGATGCTGAGAGTTATGGCCCAGAATAGAAGTCAGTGGCGCGAATGCTGTACGGTTTGCCTGTCGAAATCCTGTGCTCCATAAACAAAAACGAAAAAAGTAACACAAATGTCAAAAAGTGTACGGTGAAACAAACAAAAAAGAATCGTTATTCTCGTCATTAAACTTAAAGCCGTGTGTCATCAAAGGTTAGAGTCAATGGTGTGGTTTGAACCTATAAAGTTCAAGCCAGTTGTACATCTGTGATAACTGTTTTATTCGCTCGACCATCGCCACCCAGGTGCATTCTGTCTGAGTGGTGACGGCGCAGTGGTTTATTCGCTGTCACAGGCGTGCTTTCGACCCCATGATTCAAGGTTTGAGCCCCGCCACCGCCACCCAACTTTGGTGGTAGGCAGCTTTGCGGTCATCCAGTTTAATGTGGATCACCACTCCGAGTCCCGGGGCTTAGGTTACCGGTTTCCATCACTGAACAGCAGGTCTTCGTGACTATGGGGTTTACTCTGTCTGCTGTTTATCACACGAAAGTGAAACAAAAATATGTTATACACTCCTCCCACCCGCGTAACCCCAAAATGCTCACCTGTGAGTAAAATCACGTGGCGCAGAAGATAGAACTCCTGTGCGCTCAGACTAGCTTGTCGTATTTCCGAGAGGAATTGCATGAATGCATTGGCGAATTTTCGATCAGGTCTCCTTGTCCGATCGGCCAGTATCATTTGCATTCCACCCGCTTGTCTCACCTCAGGTAGGAGGATCCAAGGCAGACCGATTTGGTCCAACTGAGCAGCCTGACGAGCCTCAGCAGCAATCAGTTCATTGGACAATGTGTGTTCGACCACGACCAGATCTAACGCATTCTCAACCATACTGAGCGCGAGGAGACGATGCCAGCATTTGGCCAATAAGCCAAGCCACATATCCATATCCACCAGGCCTCGTGAACGACCATTCCCAGCACGAACGTTGCGATTGATTGGACCGAAATCCATTGTTTGCAAAACGGGCGCGGATAGAGCCACGAATTCGGCCACCTGACGCATCCATTCACTGACCCTGGCCTGGACCGGGCGCGCGGTTTTTTTGGCCAGTTGGACAAGCTGAAGTGAATCATTCGTATCCGGTGGACGCAAACTATGCAACGCCAGTTGTGCTAGACCGTTGGTTTGCACGGAACCGTGACCGGTCAGATCGACCGGTTCGTCCAATCCAGAATCGGTCGACAGTGAGGTTAGTGGGGATGGATTGAATGCAGCGGAATTGTAACCAGAAGACTGGTTGGAAGAGAGAATGGGTTGAATTATGATGGGTGGTACCAGTGGACCGTGAGTTAAGGACAGGTTTGACTGGAGAGTTTTCGTTGTAGTAGTTGTTGTTGTTGTTGATACGGTTAACCCCGCTGCCCCGATTGATGTTGATGTCGGTAGTCGTAGTGCTCTGGCTGTTTGCAGTGAGGATCCAGACACGGGGTGTGAAGTGTGCAAACTGTGTGATCGAGTGAGAAAATCCACATTCACAGCATTGTGTGGTGTTTTGGAGAAACTGCGAAAGCGCACGGCCAATTTGGGTTTCTCATCCCATGATGTTGAGTTATCTAAATGCCGACGATACGGGGAATGATGATTGGGATGATGATGATGATGATGATTAGTATGGATGGTTGTACCTCCGTTGTTATTACTTGTGTTCGTGTTGGTAGTGAGAGTAGACTGACTGTTAAGATGTAACCGGGACTTGGTATTTTGTGGAGACGGTAGAATAGAATCACCATTGGAACCTATATTGATTGTATTGGAACGAACGCAGTTCTTCAATTGCGAAATTTTGTGAGTGCCCAAAGAGTTCGCTCGAATCCGATGATTGAAGTTAGGCTGCTGTTGTTGTGATGGTGGTGTTAGTTTATGTGAAGGCCTAGAGGACTGATGAAACTTTTGTTGCTCACAAAGTTTTGACGGAGATATGGAAGTGTTGTGGCCGTTGGCTAGAGTGGTACCATTCAAAGCACCCATCTCGGACGCCGTAAGGACGGCTGCCAGACGCGAGCCTGTCTCTAGCCGCTTAGAAGGCCGGTCAATATCCATGATGGGGTCGGATTCCACATCTTCGTTCACCGTATCATCAATATCCAAACTCATTTGGGTATGAGAACGTCGCAAGCCACCGGGGATAGATGAAGTCCCGGACGAAGCACGCGTCGGGGTACTCATGGTACGTAACGGAGAGCAGCACAAACCACTCGAGGAACCGATTTCACTTCCCACCAATAAACTGTACAATAAACCACCGTGAGCTGGTGCAGGAGGACATCCGGAGGGAGATGTGTCCCTTCCGTCTGTAGGGGTTGGAGATGTGACAGATACTCGGGGACTGGGATTCGAGGAACCGGGACTTTGGGTTCGCACAGATACGGTAGTAACTGAACTTGGACTGGGGGTCGAGGAGTCACGGGAACAAGCTAGACGAATACGGGCCAACTTTTCGCTACCTTCAAGCATGGGTTCACTTAAACCGCTGTTGGCGACTGCGTGTTTGTGTAATCCGTCGCCCTCCGAATCCATCACTGAGGAAGAGCCGTAGTCCCTAACGGTCTTCGTGTGATCGGGGGAGTTCAGGAATGACTCTTGACTGACAACCATCGCCTCAGCGATGCTGAATGTAGATGAAGCAGGCGGTGATGAACAGATGGACGAAGATAGGGGAAAGCAATCGAATTTTAGCCAGATAACAATCAGTGCGAATTACGAATGAAAAAGATAGCTATTGGAAAATACTGAGATATATAAGCATTTAAGTGACAAATTTCAAAAATCTGCCGTTGAAACCGCTTACACGAATAAAACAATTACAAAATTACCCTAGATAATCAAATCCCCACCAGTTATAATAAATTTCACCTCATGTTCATGACCAACAGTGCTGTAAAAACAAAAGAAAACATTGAAAAAAATTACACATCATTAGGAACTGGTAAGCGTTGTGTTCCTTCAGGTAACGGAAACATGACCTGATAACGACAGAAGTAGCAAGCGCGTGAAATCAGTCAAATTGCGATCAATCGCATGTCAAGGTCATTCTATCTCACTCAGCTGACAGATCAGTCACCACTTGCCCAAATACCCTGAATACCGGAGCGCACACACACACACAAACGGACGCAAGTGGACACAAAACGCGCGAACATGGATAGTGGATGATCCCACCCTGGCCCAAGTCAGGCTGACGAGGAAACGGCCCAACTGATGGACAGGATCGCATGTACACGCGACTGTGTGCGCTCGGTCATGCATACCCCACACGTGCAATACGTGCATGAACCGACAAGCGATAAATGGCCTGCCAAATGGCACTACTACTCAATTCACGCTCTAGGGGAAGACAGCAAATGCAGACTAAAAAAT